ATCAGCTCCAGGCATGACGAAGCGGATATCATCCTCTTTTGGAAGGCCAAACAAAGTAGTTTCACTTTCACAACGAAACACAGCGCCTGCACGACATGGCAGCGGCAACAACAATACTACAGCGAGAATAAAAGTTATGCCTTCTTTCTTTGCGTGAACATTTGGGCGGTGTTATGCAAGTCTTCCCACATAGTGATGTAGACATGTGGGGGCGTGTTAGAACGAGCCGTTTTAGGTAGGTGTGGCTGACTCTTAACTTTTATAAAGAATATCTCTTTGGATTTGAGACTTTAGTCTTTGCAACTTTACAGATCTTCTTTATGCACCAAGAGCTTGTAACACTCCAAAGAGAAAGGAAAAATTTTTATCGCATCATATGACCCCTTTAAAGGGGTCCTATTATGCTTTTTCACTTTTTGTATTTTAGTCAGTGTGTAGTGTGTATGTTTGGGCATAAAACAGATCTACAAAGTTACAAATCTCAAAGTCCACTCCAAAGGGAGATATTAAATTTTTTTTAAATCCCTTTTCAAGAACTACAACGAACGGCTCGTTTGGACTACAGCGTTGTTTTCCGGGGTTTTGTGATGTCACAAAGCCGGCCCATTAGAATATCATAAAAATAATTCCCGCCTTCAGAAATTCAAATGGTTGGGGGGTGGGGAGGGGCGAGGTTGTGGTTAGAACGCTTGGTTGAGTGAGTGCATCAGACGAGACGACGATGAAGAAGAAGTGCTGCTGCAGTTTTAGTGCATCAGAGAAAACCAAGAAGAGCTGCTGTAGCGTCAAGTTTTCGCCATGTTGAAGAAATGCTGTTTTTTCATAAATTGCTGACAGTACAATATTGGACAGTGATGTAATCTGCAGAATTTACACTTCAATTATGTGACTATAATGTTAGAATTAAAGAACAATAAACATAATACATATTACCGTTGCACTTATCTGTACATAGAAAATGCACTTATTTTTAAGCGGTTGTTGACATCGTATCTAAAACGTGATTTAGCCAAAAAAACAACAACAATAACGTTACCACTCTAATATGTCTTGCAATATCCGTGCATGCAAAGGTTCTGCGCGATCCTCTTGTTCAATATTCTCGGGATCTGAATCCGGCTCAAATTGATATGCAGTATTGACGCCATCCTTAACTATACCGGAGCAGATGGAACTTGCTGCTTTGGCAAGGGGCGGGGCAGTACTGAAACACCGTCTAAGCTGTTCGCCAATCACAACGCACTGGGACAGCTAACCAATCACAACGCATTTCGTTTTTTCGAAAGGCGGGCCTTCATCAAAACCAGAACTAATCGAGCCGTTTGTGCCAGGCTGGGGAGAAAGGTATTTTAATAATGTAAATAATGTGGAAAATAATGCGTTTTTCGAACCGCCAAGCATGAGAGCATGTTCTAGTACACCCCCAAAACAAAATCAAGACTTTGTAAAAGAGCATAATAGGACCCCTTTAATTGATTAATTATTAATTACGATCATCTACAAGAAGTTACAATCTAAACACCATGAGGAGTGCTCACACTCTCACGAGTGGTTGTGCGGTTTAACGTGATTTTCCTCTGCTGTCTCACCGCAGGTGCTCTGGCCATATTGATCCCGGAGCTTGACCTGGTCATCTCTCTGGTGGGCTCCGTGAGCAGCAGCGCTCTGGCCCTCATCTTCCCTCCTCTGCTTCAGATCATCACCTTCCATAATGAAGACATGAAGCTCTGGGTGATGGTCAAGGACATCGGCATCAGTCTCATTGGCTTTGTGGGCTTTGTGGCGGGGACGTACATCTCTATCCAGGAGATTGTGGCTCGGAACAGCAGCAGACACAACGGCACACACCTGCATCTGCAGTGAATGCTGACATAGCGACAGATTAAATGTAGGCCGTACAGACCCACTGAATCATTTAGTCACTACATGCTCCTTTGATTTCTTCTGAATTCCGCTTGGGATTCCTCTTACAGAACTTACAGATTTTTTTTATGTGTTTTTGTCCTTTGGTTTTTGCCACACTGAAGTCTCTTCATATCGAGTTCCCAAGTTACATTGGTTTCAAAGACCTCGTTTTTACAAACTCTTTTGGGCCAAAGCCTTTTATCCAAATGTTATGGTGAATATTAATAGAATAATATCTATATTGCTCATTTGAATGTTTTGCTTACAGTCTTTCAAAGAGATTCTCAGTGAGTATTTTTTCACATTCATTTAGACTTGACAGGTTCATGTGTTGATTACTCATTTTGATTGTTTCTACATGGAAAGAAGTGATGTGAACAGTAATTTCTGCTTGTAACTGTGTATTTGTATTCTTAGGGCTCTTGTTTTCAATACCAAAAGCGAGTTATTTACTTCTGCATATTACACACAGACTCAACCTAGACTTGATTGTAAATATGTGGAAAATCCACTCGAGGTACAGAATGTTTTATGTTTGCACAATTACACAAAACCCAGTACCTCTCAGTCTCAACCAATCAAAACATGCGTCAGTTCAGTGGTCTCGAAACAATTTTATCTGCACAGTGTCTGCTGTTTCGGTCTTTTTTTATTGATTTACATATTTAAGTAATGTTTTATTGGTTTATTTTTTATTTGTGCCGCCTCGCGCATCAAACAGTATTTTATATTCAGCAGGTGCCATCAGTGAGTCATCTTGCTTAGAAATCTCTTGATATAACTTGATTTTTCTAAAAACATTTTTCTGATTACCACATTATTTCAGTATCCACATATGGCCAGTTCTCATTTCAGATGTGCAGTATATAATTGTTTTAAAACAGGCTCCAGATCTCATGATGTTTAGCACACAAACACTTCAAATTCAGGCAAAGCAACAGGAGTGTATTTTAACTATATGTACGTTGAGTAACTTTAATTTTAAAACACTTGTGCTGTTGTGTTAAACACACTTTTTACTGGGGTACTTGAATTTTTTGTTTTAGTTGTATGAATTTGCTATATATATTGATGGCAGTGCCAAAGTTATTGACTTTTATCATTTACTGTAATTTTTTTAGTTGCAGCTTTTGTAATTGCAGTATTATTTGATTTGACTTTTTGCGATTTCATGGATTTTCGCCTTGTTGTACATATGCTATAGGTCTTTAATTCATGCTCACCTTGATGAAAATGAACATATCTCTATTTTAAAACTTTACAAATGCAAAAGATGTAAAGATGAGATTCTAAAAATGGAGAAACATCACATTGCTTATTTTTGTACTTATTACTAGTTCATTTATTTGTTGATCATTAGCATGAGTTTCATGCTCCAGCTGTTGAGTTGCCTCTTTGTGTCTTTCTAGTTCATTTAAAACAGCAGGCCTTGAGAGCTGCTATGTGCTCTGTGTTTTAATTAAAGAACTGATAGCCTGTCGGTGTTCTCACTGCTTCACATGTGATTTTTCTCACTGCATCTTTTGTTGTAAAGCAGTGTTTTCCAACCAAGAGTATATATGCATGCTTCCAGGGTACTTGGAAAGATTTAGCTTTGTTGAGGGTGAAGGTATTTTGAAATGATGCCGAAATAATTCCCATCTCAGTCGATGCTTTTACAAAGGATTTTTTTTTTACACAGTTGGCAGTTGTGTCTGGCTGTTAAATGTGGCTCTAGTTGCATTAGTTTTACAAAGTTTTGAAAGGGCAACATTTCAAGAAGTGCATTTGTAAAGGTACTGCTTGGTTGCCAGGGTTTATATAGACCATGTTTGTGTCTGAAAAGCTCATGAGTTTTAACGCATGCAGTCATTCATCTAGCTCTCATCGGTGGCTGTGTAGGTGCTTGTCTGTGACATATACCGATATAATATGGCTTATTGTGAGGGAAAATGCACAGAGAAATAAAATGCAGATTTCATCACTGAATATCAGCATAGCTGTGATAACCTGTGTTTGCCTACTGCAGGCATTTATGGACAATTTGTGTGAATTATAGCTTTGATTATTCGTTCATTTTACTTTGACTACCTTTCTTCTAATATGACTTCTGCTTAAATGAACGAGCTGAGAATGTTGATTTGTATAATCTACAACTCTTTCATTGAAGTTGCATCATGGCAAAGCCTTTGATTGGTTGGCGTGGTAAAGGCTGACATCCCCAATACTGTGTCAGTGATTGCAATAACAGTGTTTTGTACTTAGACAGATCAAAAGGAAACTGCTATGGTAGGCTGTCATTATGTATAAGGGGGAAAATACAGTGTGGACTAAAGTCATGTTTTGACCATGTTCTCTTCTGTAGTTTCGGGCCTAGAATGTCTTTGCTTTTTTTCTCCCAGCTGCTCGTCTTTACAAAACAACAACAAAAGAACTCCAATTTCTAACAGTTTGCAGGATGTAATGAAGGTCAAGCAACATCTGACTTGCATCAAGACAGAAAAACAGGAATGTTCCCGGTTCAGTACAAGTTAAGCTGTACCGCGTCTGTCGCATGCTGTCGATTACGATACACAGTAACTTTGGAGACCTATGGGAAAAGGCATTCATCTGAGTTTAGAAGTAGAAATTGGGACTCGTATTTTTTGTTAAGATGTTGATATTCTTCCGAACAATAGTGAGTGTTATTTGAGGTGTCACATTATCAACTTATTTAGCTTCCAAACCCAGCTTTTACGTTGAACATCAAGTGGAGACCCAACACAGAAATGGTTTATTGTGCAATTTCACAGTTTCATGCCCTCGGCAGGCAGAAATTCACCACACAAAACATATTGTGGTCGGCACAAACCCTAATTATACACGCAGCAAGTGAAGCTGTATTTAATATAGACTGGGTCGTGTTTTCTTTTACCTTGTGTGGTTTTTGTACATGGACCAGAGGGTGACATGAGCCGCCCACGCAGGCGTCTGTGTAATTTGGCTAATATCTACCAAGAGACAGATTAATTTTGTAAGTTTTGACATCAACAAAATGCGAAGCATGTCATGACTCATGAGAAAGTAGCAGGGTCTACCAGCTGTAAACAAGGTTAATAAGTTACAAAAAAAAAAGTTTCTTCTATGCTTTCACTATACCTTAATATCTCCCTGTTCTGCCTTGTACTACTCAGAATGATTTCTGAAACTCTTCCATCATTTCTCATTGAATCACTTGTTATATTCCTCATATGTATGTTGCTTTGGATAAAAGTGTCTGCTAAATAAATAAATGTAAATGTAAAAAAAATAATGTTGTTCAGGGACATGAAATACTGATTTTATAAGTTTATCATTGCATTAATGAGCAAGTTATTGAATTTGTTGGCCTAGAACAAGACAATTACTGCAATAATGTCGGTAATATTAATGATCTAGTCCTCTGAGCTCATTTTGACTACAATCGAAGATGCAGGTGATATGAGAGAGACATAAAAGTAGCGCTGGTTTCACTTCCCCCGGATAAAGCGCTGCCATAGGCAATGTTGAATATTTGTAAATATCCCACCTCTGAATGATGTCAATGACCAATCAGATTTTCGAGAGAACCCTGTAATAAGCGATTATATCCAATCAAACTTGTGTACATATCATAATGGGAGAAACTTTTTGGTCACACTTTATTTTAAGGTCTAACTCTCACTATTGACTAACTATTAACGATGACTTTTGCTTCAATAAACTCCTACGTTGCTGCCTATTAATAATTAGTAGGGTAGTAGTTAAGTTTAGGTATGGAGTATGATAAAGGGATCTAAAATATGGTCATGCAGAACAAGGCATTGATATGTGCTTTGTAATTACTAATAAACAGCCAATATGCTAGTGAAATGCATGCTAATAAGCAACTAGTTAATAGTGAAAATTGGTACTTAAAAAAAAAGTGTTAACGACTTTTTGAAACTTTAAATCAATTGAACCAATTGCTTCGCAAAATGATTCACTTTTTCGAAGCACTCAACATAGTGATGGTCAGAACGATGGAGATGCAATGAAAAATGAAGCTCATAATTGCATTAAAAACACCTGTTACAAACCAATTGCAAGTATGCATAATATGTTATTTCATTAATTTGTAAATTGATTATCAGGCCAATAAGAGACTACATTTCTTAATTTTGGTTAAACAAAGCTTTCCAGGAATGTTCCCGGTTCAGTACAGGTTAAGCTGTACCGCGTCTGTCGCATGCTGTCGATTACGATACACAGTAACTTTGGAGACCTATGGGAAAAGGCATTCATCTGAGTTTAGAAGTAGAAATTGGGACTCGTATTTTTTGTTAAAATGTTGATATTCTTCCGTACAATAGTGAGTGTTATTTGAGGTGTCACATTATCAACTTATTTAGCTTCCAAACCCAGCTTTTACGTTGAACATCAAGTGGAGACCCAACACAGAAATGGTTTATTGTGCAATTTCACAGTTTCATGCCCTCGGCAGGCAGAAATTCACCACACAAAACATATTGTGGTCGGCACAAACCCTAATTATACTCGCAGCAAGTGAAGCTGTATTTAATATAGACTGGGTCGTGTTTTCTTTTACCTTGTGTGGTTTTTGTACATGGACCAGAGGGTGACATGAGCCGCCCACGCAGGCGTCTGTGTAATTTGGCTAATATCTACCAAGAGACAGATTAATTTTGTAAGTTTTGACATCAACAAAATGCGAAGCATGTCATGACTCATGAGAAAGTAGCAGGGTCTACCAGCTGTAAACAAGGTTAATAAGTTACAAAAAAAAAAGTTTCTTCTATGCTTTCACTATACCTTAATATCTCCCTGTTCTGCCTTGTACTACTCAGAATGATTTCTGAAACTCTTCCATCATTTCTCATTGAATCACTTGTTATATTCCTCATATGTATGTTGCTTTGGATAAAAGTGTCTGCTAAATAAATAAATGTAAATGTAAAAAAAATAATGTTGTTCAGGGACATGAAATACTGATTTTATAAGTTTATCATTGCATTAATGAGCAAGTTATTGAATTTGTTGGCCTAGAACAAGACAATTACTGCAATAATGTCGGTAATATTAATGATCTAGTCCTCTGAGCTCATTTTGACTACAATCGAAGATGCAGGTGATATGAGAGAGACATAAAAGTAGCGCTGGTTTCACTTCCCCCGGATAAAGCGCTGCCATAGGCAATGTTGAATATTTGTAAATATCCCACCTCTGAATGATGTCAATGACCAATCAGATTTTCGAGAGAACCCTGTAATAAGCGATTATATCCAATCAAACTTGTGTACATATCATAATGGGAGAAACTTTTTGGTCACACTTTATTTTAAGGTCTAACTCTCACTATTGACTAACTATTAACGATGACTTTTGCTTCAATAAACTCCTACGTTGCTGCCTATTAATAATTAGTAGGGTAGTAGTTAAGTTTAGGTATGGAGTATGATAAAGGGATCTAAAATATGGTCATGCAGAACAAGGCATTGATATGTGCTTTGTAATTACTAATAAACAGCCAATATGCTAGTGAAATGCATGCTAATAAGCAACTAGTTAATAGTGAAAATTGGTACTTAAAAAAAAAGTGTTAACGACTTTTTGAAACTTTAAATCAATTGAACCAATTGCTTCGCAAAATGATTCACTTTTTCGAAGCACTCAACATAGTGATGGTCAGAACGATGGAGATGCAATGAAAAATGAAGCTCATAATTGCATTAAAAACACCTGTTACAAACCAATTGCAAGTATGCATAATATGTTATTTCATTAATTTGTAAATTGATTATCAGGCCAATAAGAGACTACAT